CCCAATTGTTACCAGCTCCACTTTGCCCAAATATGAAATTATCAGGCCGAAAAATTTGACCAAAGCAACCGGAACGTATAGAATCCATTGTACCGGGCTCAAGATCAACAAGTACGGCTCGAGGCACATATTTAGCTCCATTGGCTTCATTGTAGTAGACATTGATTCGCTCCAATTGTAGATCACTATCACCATAGTAGCAGCCTTTGCAATCAATGCAATGTTCATCGGAAATAACTTCCCAAAATTTTGCTCCAATTTGGTTACCACATTGGCCGCATTGTAGATGTACGATTTCACGCATTTTAAAATTTTTTTATTTTTGGGATTTTTTTTAAATTTTTTTTAGAATTTTATTATTTTTAAATTTTTTGCAAAAAATATATAGCAAATTGCAAATTTATTTTTCCAATATAATTTTACTTCCGCATAAAATTAGAAACAAAATATCCGGAAAAAAAATTTATATGATTATTGAAAAAATTTCTTTCAGCTTTATAGTTTTTAAAACAAAATTCTTGGAATAATTGATTGATTTATATATATATATGTAAAATTATTTAATAACTTTTGTTTTTATTTATTTTATGGATCGGTTTTTTATTATCACTTAAAAAATTCGTCAGATGTTTGTTTTATAATATGATGTCCAGATCTTTAGTAACCAATTAGCTGATTAAAGCTCCGTTATCCTCGTGGGCTTATATCCACCTCAGTGATATGCCCTCAGCAAATCGCCAGTGTATTGAAACATATCCAACCGGGTGTATTAAATTACTGACTAATTTACATATTAATACTATTATCATTGCAATTACAAATTCAAACCAACAAAAACAACTTAAAAAGTATTTACCAGGAATCCTATCCCTCTCCGTACTCATGTAAATGGTTCGACCGATGCTTCACACATTAATATGGTACCTCCTACAATAACGCGAACACACCCAAGCAACACCAGCGATGCCTGGAAAATAAATATAAAATCTTTTATATTTTTCTTAATGCTTTTAATATATACAACAAAGTAAATACAAATAAATTGGCATTTAGATCTCAAGTCTCCAATAATGATAATTATAAAATATAATATAATAGGATTACAACATAGACGGTATCAGGTGCCTTCCCTCTTTGTGGTCATGCAAACAGATCGGCCGATGCTCCACACATTGAAAGATATCTCCTGCTACGAAGACAAACATAACAAGAAACCCATAGGCATCCAAAAAAATTAATTCATTTAAATTAAATTCGCTAGCTATAAGTGATTAAGAGACCGAGTGACGCATATAAATAATCACAACTAATTAACCCGGAAAATAAATGTTGGTTTGGTGTCTGGTCTTCAGTTGCCATTATAAAAATACCAACAATTGCAAAAATTTTCCAGGATTGTTTTATATATATGTATATATATAAATTTATATAATAAATTTTGTTTATTATATGTTTTTATACATCGGTTATTTATTATCATTTAAAAAATTCACATTGATATGACGTATTTGCATAATTTTTGGGTGTCTGAAAAGTATACGGAAACATATTTTAATTTCTCTCTATGTATTTACGCTCAAAGAGAGTATTGCATCTTCAGTATTAGATATTCTATTTTATTTCACAATGGTATTTTTAATTTTTTTCTTTAGTTGGAAAAGTCGAGAGCCATCATTCGATTGAATAATGTAATCTTCCAGCTATTGGATCATTAAAGTTTAAACACTGAAAATAATAATATTTAGAGATATTTATTTGGGCAATCTGGGAATTGAGGATATTAGCGAGAGTATTTGTTGTCGATTGCTGTTTGAAACATATGTTACAGAGGTGAGTGATGGGAGCACCGTATAGCACTGCTTTGAAGTACAGTAAACATTATTAGCTTCACAGCTCATATCACATGATTATAGTTCATATGAAATTGTTCTGATGAGTCGAAGTATTCTCCATCAAAATTACAATAAAAATTAGTAAGTAATGTTTACTTAAAGAAGCTGTTTAAAGGTTTGTTACAACTGCTGTTTTATACATAGTCTATATATTTATTTAATAATAGAAAGTGTGTGGTCATGCTGGTTAGACACATTTGAGATGTAATTTTTTTTAAAAAATAGAAGTTAAAGAAATTCAAAATTTTTCAAGAAATTCTCTTTCAAAAGGTAATTAAAAAACCTTTTTAAGTGAAAATTGTAAAAGCGGTCCCTTCATATTAATTTCTGCTGTTATATTTGATATTGTCTTAAGATGTCACGAACATATTCTTATTATCAGTTGATATATATGGAGTATTATTTTGTACGCATCTGTTGAAAAGTATCATATTAATAAAATCAATATGTTGATGTATGTCTTGAGTCAAGTGAAGTGAAATGGTATTAAAAGATATTAATATATCATATTCCCTTGTGTTTTAGGATTTAAACGATCACAGAATATGTTGACGTACTCGTACACATAATAAAGAAGATAAAAAACATAAAAAATTTTTCTCATTTCTCGAAAGAATAATTCTCAGAAGAACTTTTTTGTCATTTAACAAATTTTCATGCCAATGAACAGTGAAACTGAATATGGTAGCAGCTGGTGCCGTAAAATGCAATGCCACACCTTTTGTTCGAAGTGTGATAAATGCTTAATGGTTCGTTCTTTGGTTCCCTTTTTTAACGCTTTTCTTCATTTTATTAAAAAGGTAACAGGAAAAATGAAAAATCTATTTATTCGCAATTTTTATTTTGCAAATGAAGGAAAGAAAAATATATGTTTGAATATATATATTGTATGTATTGTATGTGTATGTGTGAAATAAAAGAACATAAAAAATAAATAAACAAATATTAAGGCTACGAAAAGTCAATCCTAAACCGATCAATGTAAATGTCAACAAAGGGTCAAAAGCACACAAACTTTGGACACACACACAGCCATTCAAACACCATTAATGAAGGTTGTGTGAAAAGAGTTGTGTGATTCCACCTCTAGTAGGTCACTTTTGGTCACTACTATTACAGGCACAGCTGTACGGATGGATACGTTAGCAGCACGACTACTTATGGGTAAGTGCGGAAGGTTCTCTACGGAAATGTAAAGCACAAATTTAGTCCCTTTTTTGTGCTGTTTGTCACACTTTGCTTTCTACCTTAATGTATCTTTAGTGCATTTTTATGTTGTTTGTACTCGTACATGTAAATACACCGAGTAAGAGAATTGTCTAGAAATTCTATTTTGTGTTGGGATTTGCTTTGTTTATTGTATACTTATGACCTTTTACAGTCGTATGGTGCTACTGTAAAAAGAAAATTTAAATACGTGATTTGTTGTGCATTTCAGTGTAAATACGGCAAATGTGGTCATTTTGTGTGCTTTTTTCTACTCTCACAGATTTAAAACAATAAAAATCAAACAAATTTTTTACGTACATAAAATAATATAAACACACATATACAATACAATACGTATACGTTTACGTATATATGATTTTTTGTTAGAAATTTATTATTTCAGCACTAAAGAACAAAAGAAAATATCTAAAGTTAAACCGCATATGACAACCATTTTTTTCTTTGCATGTGACATCTGCCATGTTGTTAAAAATTAAATTAACATATGCATGTGCCGTTTACACTGCCATAAGGTCTACCGGTTCAGTTTCAGTTGGGGGTAGGGCATGATTTATTATATAGAAGAAATCAAAATAAATGTAATGTATGATCTTTATGGGTATTGAGCATATTGTTCTGCATAAGACTAATGTTTGTTATTAATATCAGCTGTTGCAACTGCTGATTTATTTCAGGTTTCTGAAAATATTGCTTAATTTCCTTTATTTGATTGAATAAAATGCATTTAATAGAGTTTCTTATTGTGTATATTTTAGTTTCCAGTTTTTAATTTAAAATACTATATGTAAATCATTTTGGTTAAATATAAATTTGTCATAGATATAACTTGAGTGCTTGTAAGATTACTTTTATTGAGATAAAATATGTTTTAATTCACATATTTTATAAAAATTATTAGAATTTAACAAAATTTTTCACATACATAATTTAAGAAACTAATTCCATTAGTGAGAGATTCTTCACCAAAGTGAAGAAATGACTTTAACCTCAAATAAAATGAACCAAAATTGTAAAAAGATAAGTTGAATAAATTTTAGTTATTTAATTTTAGTTATTTAATGATACATTTACATTTATAATACATACACACTGTCTCATTTAGGCACTTGCTCATTTATATTAATGAGTCAGCGTTTACATTATAACGAGTTTATTTATGCGTCTGATAGAATTTTTATAAATTTCAACTAATAAAATATCATACAAATTACAACAAAATTCTTACAAATTTAAAATTTTTAATAATTTCGCAATAATACAACAAAATTTAATTTAATAGTAATATTGAGCTCTCAATTGATTGGTATTTTTTTTTGTGGTTTTTTGTGTTGTTTCACTATTTGTTAAGTAAGTTATGGTCGTGTAAACGCATTAAATTGTGCAATTATCGCTAATTGAGCTAAGTTCCATTAAGTATATTAGCAAGAAGTCGACCTCAATACTGGCGAACATACTGGGTTTGCTACAAGCGACAAACAAATATATGTGGACATAACAAAGGTTAAATTAAAACTATCTAGTTTCTGTCCATAAATGCCAATTGCATTAGTACTATTATAAACAACAGCAAAAATTCGTTTAAAATTTATTGAAACATACGTGACATTCGGTTAAAAGGGAAACTCTCTCTCTTCAAGTAAATTACGAATATATGCCATTTAAAAAAAAAGTTATTAGATTCTTTCTTTCAAAGTGTATACCATGTCATTCTATAACATGAGTGCATTGACTAGTATTTTTTATTTGAACACTATATATGATTTTAGTTTATTTTATGATTGAAATATTTTGAAAATATTTTGTGTTGCAATGCATATTTTGTGGAACGATCCAAGCGAAACATAAGAGCTATTTTACTTTAGGAGCAAACCTGGTACTTCAGGCTGTCGAGTAAAAAAATATTTATGGGTAAAAAATGTAAATATGGAATGATAAAATCAAATCTCTTTGAATAAAATGATTTGGTAGTTGCATTGACTCTGCAAATATTACCGCGAAACTTTATATTCGAGCACTGAAAATGCAATATTTGAGCAGCGAGCAATTGTCGTAGTCACTTTTGTACGAGGGACTAAAAATTCAATTTTTAAATTCTTTACGTATAAAAGGGATTCCATACAAGGGAGAGTTACCTAAAAAAATATGCTTCAACTTTTTATTTTTATATTGAAGCTGTAGGTAAAACTGTTTCGTGTTTGTATAGAACAAAACTATTCTATGTACAAAAATTGA